AAAAGCATAGTATGCAAATTGTCCCCTCAACCGGGAGTTCTTCTGGGAGTTCAACCAGGGGGCAGGACTGGCCGGGAAAAGGGAGGGAGGTCTCGGTGGCCAGGGGAAGGGAGGGAGTACCTGGCCAGCAGCTGCCAGCCACTAGGGACCCTACCAGTGCATGAATTTCGTGCACTGGGCCTCTAGTATATATATGAGCATGGTAGCCCTGGCCAGTGTGGCTCAGTTGGTTGGAGCATTAGTCTGTTTGCTGAAGGGCTGTGGATTCAATTCCCAGTCAAGGCACATACCCAGGTTGCAGGTTTGATCCCGGGTCCGGGGACATGTGAGAGGCAGCTGATCAATGTTTCCTTCTCACATCGATGTTTCTCTCTTCCTTTAAAATCAATAAAAGCATGTCCTTGGATGAGGATTAAAATAAATATATATGTGCGCATGACAGTGACTTATATCAAACTGTGGTAAGGAAGAATGAACTGACCTGCAAAAGGGATAATGGAAAAAAAAATTAAACTGGAGAGATACTGGGAGATACACCAGGGTCCTTAAATATAACCAAAGGGATAGAAAAATAGGACCTACGAAGAATTTGGGCAATTGAGGAAGATAAATCCAAACAGATGAGGATTCACTATGAATAAAAATCCTGACCAAGTGTTCTCTCCAAAAAGGAAACATGGCCATACTTCAGTAATTTGAGAGAATGGCCCATAAAAGTGACTTCTACACGAGAGATCATACTATGACTTAAACATCTGAAGCCACTAGAGATCACACACTATTGGTAATAGACTGCAACAATTGAAGTTGTTACAACTATTATTCCTGTTTGTGATAATGAGGAATAAAATTGTTTCTAAAAATGTAATTGCCAAAGTACCAACAATCAAATTAATGAATGACAACTTTATTTCTTAAAGGCTGATGAAAAACCATTACGATTTCTAATAAAGAAAGTACAACATCTCAATGAAAAACTATGATAACTATATTTACTCATTAAATACTAAGTTTTCTCAAACACAACTTGAAAACATCTGGCATGCACGTTTAATCTCAGTACAGTGGATTCAAGATCAAGTATACATGTTACATGCATCAAGGCTAAATTACAAATTATCATAGTCGTCATCATCATCATCGTCATCATCATCATCTTCACGTTTTCTTTTCAATGCATTTGCTGATTCATTGGCAGCATTTTGTGATGACACCATGTTAGTGGTAATAAGAATGTTTTTGGACCCAATTAATGATGGATTAATCAGAACATTCTGAACTGATGAAGTTGCAGGAATTGATGCTTTTACAGCTGGGGACTGTGAAGTGGGCATCTGTACTGTAAACCTTTGCCCTGTGAGGGACATTGGAGTCCCTACTTTAGTTGAAACTGACATGGTTTGTGGGGTTGGTGTACCAAGTGTGGGAGTACTTGGTCTACTAGTAACTGAACCAACACTTAACCGTGGAACTGTTATTCTTCCCGCAGAAGTAGAAGCCTTTTTTTGTAAAGATTTAAGTCTATAGTTTGGAGCAGTCAAGCAGTATCTATCAGGTGGCAATCTAGGACCTGAATATGGCTTGATCAATGGCAATGGGGTTTGATTTCTTTGCCTTGCAATATCTAATAAAAAATCTCTTGGGGGAGGAGAGGTAAAAGACTGGTCAGCACGACACTGGATTGCCAATCGCACATCATCTGCATCAACAGTAGCTTTCTTAGCATGGCTTGAATAAATTTTTGCATCATCTAGAATTGTGGTCACATATCGGAAGGCAAACTCCAACATCTGATTTATAACTCTTGGCTCATATTCTGTAATCCCCATATCCTTCAGGATTTGTGCCATCATCTGTGCATCTTTCGGCATGCTCTTGGGAGAAGCCATCTTGCCAGACTCCATGATATCCGGTGATCAGACTTTAGATCATTTGAAAAAAATATGTACATTAGATCAAACCTGAAATAGTTACTTTAAGTAGCAACTGTCAGGAACTTAAAAAATTTAAAATGTCATATGTTTAAAAATATATATTTTAAAGATATATGTTAAATCTTTTTAATTTTAATGAGGCACACTTAAAGTTCCCTTTACTTGAATTTATTTGAGTTTCTACCTGAACATAAAAAGTTAAAGACAGAATAACAAAGTGACAAAGATTGAAGGGAAACTGGGTAAAATAAGTAAAAACATGTATCATTTTAGCGTATGTACAGTTCATGCAGACAAGCAACTATCAAATTACTCTAAGCAAATACCATAGGACAGTCATGTCCTACTGCCTGAGTTCGGAATAATCTTTTCTTCCAGTGAGATCAATATAATCACTGTCTCCACAGATATGCTTAGCACCACCCCAACCTTTATGTGTTCACCCATCTCAAAACCATTCTCCCTCGGCCCTGGACAGTGTGGCTCAGTTGTTGAGCATCAACCTAGGAACCAGGAGATCACGGTTCCATTCCCAGTCAGTCACATGGCCGGGTTGTGGGCTTGATCCCCAGTTGGGGATGTGCAAGAGGCAGCTGATCAATGATTCTCTCATCATTGATATTTCTCTTTCTCTCCCTCTCAATTCCTCTCTGAAATCAATTTTAAAAATATATTAACCCTTTGCACTCCGAACCATTCTGGACATTGGCTACCAGCTACTCGACGCTACTTTGCGGCGGAAACGTGCATTTACAGACCCTCGTATTATTTAGTATAATTTTGGAACCAAGTAACGTATTATAATGATATTGGACTTATATGAATTGGGTGACATCGAGGAATGTATATTTGCAAAAAAAACAATATTTTATTGTTTATAATTTTGTACAGTATGATAAGTTTTGTAGCACTCCCCAATATGCATTGCAGGCTGATTAGTGCATGTTTGACAGTAATAAGTGGTTTGACGCCTGCCACCAGGTGTTTTCCTGTTAGAACACACAATGCAGTCCCGTTTTCTTTGTCCCACATCGGGAATATGTAGTTTATTGTTTAATCCGACACAAAACCCGCTGACATTTCTTGTATATATCTTAGTAATTTTACGATATTTTGATTTAATTTCTTGTGCCATTTCAAGATAAAACTTCAGGGAAACATGCATGTCTCAAAAAGTTGCGTTGAAATAACTCAATTCCCCGCAATCACTAATAAACTGCAATGTCCCCTGAGAGGGGACATCCGAGTGATATGCTAGAATTCCGATGTCCCCTGAGAGGGGACAGCGGAGTGCAAAGGGTTAAAAACAAAAACAAACAAAAAACATTCTTCCTCTGCCTCACATTCAGATTCTACCTATCCTAAGTCCTATCAATCTCTTCATGACCTTCCCAATTATTACTATCTATAAGAACTGCCAGGAAATTGTGGGGGAGGCAATGTAACAGTCAAAGTAACCAAAACACAGCTTTAGACACTTAATAATAATTTCAATTTTAAAAAGAATATAAATTCCTTAATGGCTATCTTTCTCTGCTTTTTGTATGTTCTCACAGTACAGTTCTAATGCTCTATTATTTCCCTCTTTTTAAAAACAAATTTAACACCAAAATGTCCCTTACCTTCTCGAGCTAAATCACCCACATTAACGTATTTCAGTCCCGATCTTGCGGCAAGTTCTTTGCCTAGTGTGGTTTTCCCAACCCCTGGTGTACCTGTAAGACAGCCACAGAAAACACTGCTCGTGAAATACTTGCGAGACTTTACCCACCTCTCTGCCCCTCTTAACATTCTGAACAACTGCGGCCCTGCCCAGGTAGCTCAGTTGGTTAGAGCATCCCGTCCCACATGCCAAGGTTTGGGGTCCATCTCCGGTCAGGGCACATACAAGAATCAACCAAAGAATGCCTAAGCAAGCGGAACAACAAATCGATATTTTTCTCTCTCAATTAAAAAAAAAAACTCTTACAATGGAAATGAAAAGTTTCGTAATTAGCCATCCTACGTGAGTAACACACACAAAGCCTGCTGGACGGCAGAACCTCACCCGGTTCACCTGATTTTATCAGATATGGGGCTTGGTCCACTCTTGACACCAATTCACAGAATGCCTGCCACCACCATGGAAATTTCCAGACTAAAACTCAAAGTAAGTTAATGTTATCTTGTTTAATATCTATTGTATTTCAAGGTAAATAATCAAAGGCATAATTTTCAGCTGTTAAGGTTTAATGCCACTGAAACAACCGCACTCAATCATTATAATCCAAGATAACACGGATAAACCAAGTCTCTCTATACAAGACAATAACATTTACCGCAAGTCCACTATAACACACCAAGTTTGAGCCCTGCACTCACCATGTTTGCAATAAAACGCGCACATTCAGGCTTTTGACAATATGGCTTCATATTAAAAAGACCAGAACACTGACCCAAGCAATTCGGATGTACAATTTTCTCCTTACAGAATCTTAAAGGCTAAACATTAATTTGTTTGGTCTCAGAAACAGACCAGAATTGTGGGTGGCCAACAAGGTTGTTTTGTAAAAACGATAAGAACTTGATGGCTTTCTTCCCGCAAAGAGCGCCTCGATTTTGCCATCTACACCATTCGATTTTCCCATGAGTGCCCTACCATGCTAGTAACCGCTACAATTTCATACACGGGGCCTGAGCTGAAGCCGTCCCGCGGCGGTTTGGAGCCCCCACATACAACAGGGGGCGCCCCCTGAGAGTGTGGACCCCAAGACCCGGAAGGGACCCTCCGGGGACCGGACCGCATCCCCCTACGAGGAACGACCAGGTCTGCTCGGTAGATGTCTGTTCTTCAAAGAAAAAGAAGGGGGGGGGGGATTAAGATGTTAACTCCACAGACATATACAGCAAATTAATCACCTACGCCACAAACAGCGGGCTCTCACCGGAAGCTGCCTCTCAGATACAAAGGAAACATGAAAGACCGCCCAGGAAGGCCCAAGGACTAGGCATCCACGGCCAACAGAGCCACTAACATGACCTCGCTACAAGCCAAAGGCAATCCAGGAAAATAAAAATACCAGCATCCATTTCACACACAAACACCAGATCCAGAAAAACAGGCAGCTTGCCAGGAAGGGGAGCTGGTGGTTTACCTCGCCCGACCTCACCGAGCGGCCCGGGGCCACCAGGAGTGAGGCTCCCCGCCCCCCGCCCCGCAAAGGTCGCGAGGGCCCGACAACTGCCACCCCAGGCCGCCCTCGACCAGCCTCGAAACGGAACACTGAGTGCTCCCCCGTCGGCCGCCCCGAGCCCCAGGCGCCCGGCGTCGCCTGCCCCGCCGGCCAGCCCCTCCCCGCGCGCGGCCTGACCCGTGAGCAGAATGTTCGGAAGCAACATGGTCCTCAACGCGAAGGCTCTGGAACCTCGGCACGAGGGCCCTAAGCACAACAGGGAGGAGCCGGAAGGGGCGGCGGCGGCCAGCGCCCGTGGCCCCGCAGTCATCGCGACCCTGCGCGGCGGTGGCGACCCATCTCCGCCGTGCAGTCACCGACCATGGGTTACTTGGCCCTTTATGACACGCTGTCATCGCAGGGTTCGCGGCAGGGCAATAGGGGGAGAACCGTGATTTGAGTCAGGCAGTGCTCTGGCCGCCTAAGGCTCTCCCTCCTCTGGGCCCCCGCCCTTCGGGCTGTGTCGCGGAAGCGCCGACCGGTCCGGAAGGCCCCGGGAGGCGGGGCCTCGGAGGGACTCGGCGCTGAGCCCTGGTAGGGCCGGGAGGCTGCCCTGCCACCTGGAGTAGAGCCTGCGCTCCTCGCTCCTCTCCGCCCACGAGGGCATGCAGCTCCCGGCAAGTAAGGCCGCCGCGGCTGCGGCTGCGGCTGCGTTGTGTGTATGTCCTAGGGACGCGCGTCCATCTCTGCCTTCACGCCTTCCCGGGTTCTCATCGCTTCCCTTCCGGACCTGCCCATCCCACTGGGAGATCAGAGGGGTGGGGGTGCGGACCGCTGGCCCGGAGCCGGGGCGCGCGAGCCCGTGTCGGCGCTCCGCCGGTAGCAGCCGGACGTTGCCCGGCTGTCCGAGCTGCTTACCCCCGTGCAGTAGGTAGGGTGGTGGTGGGGCTGCTAGAAACATTCTCCAAGGTCTCCGCTACCTCTGACGTCTCATTTCAGGAGCGTGGCATCATCAGGGACAGTTACCTGCTTTGGAAAGGAGGTGATTGTCAGTCTTGTTTTCAAAGAACAACTAGCGTCCTGACCATGGCTACAGTCTGCGCTTTTTATCGCGACCTGCCAACTATACCAGTCTTTGCTCAAATAGGTGGTTTTTTCCCCCACCACCTATGTACCTCTTTCAAACTCCAAAGCAAAAACCTCTCTAATCGTGAATGATCTGTATGTGTGCGATTTGTTTTCTTGTGTGTGGAAGTATTCACACATAATGTGTGCCTTCAGCTATAAAAGAGTCCAATATACCTTCCAATTTATAAGTTTATAGACCTTAAAAAAAACTTTCCTTCTGGCTAACTAAAAATTGGTGAGTTTACTAGTTTGTATAAGTAGTGAAGAATTCTGAAAGGCCGAAAACAGTGCTGCCAAAAAAATTCCTAATGTGTTCAAATAAGTAATACAATTACAGGAAAAATTTACAGTTAGATTTAAAGTCTTTGTCTAAAGCAGTGGTTCTCAACCTTCCTAATGCCGCGACCCTTTAATACAGTTCCTCATGTTGTGGTGACCCCCAACCATAAAAATATTTTCGTTGCTACTTCATAACTGTAATTTTGCTACTGTTATGAATCGTAATGTAAATATCTGATATGCAGGATGTATTTTCATTGTTACAAATTGAACATAATTAAAACATAGTGATTAATCACAAAAACAATATGTAATTATATATGTGTTTTCCGATGGTCTTAGGCAACCCCTGTGAAAGGGTCGTCTGACCCCCAAAGGGGTTTCGACCCACAGGTTGGCGACCCACAGGTTGAGAACCGCTGGTCTAAAGTGAATGATAAGTTTGAATTCATTGTATGGTAGAGTTGTTTTTAATTTTGGTAGTAAAAAGCTGCAACTGCAATTTAAAATGAGGGAAATTTTCATTTTCTGTATAAAAACTTTGTATAAAAACTGCACAAATAAAATTGCCTAGTTTTTCTTAATGACAAAAGGTAGGTACACACATATATAATTTTTCTGTTTTCTTTAATTATTGAGTTCATATGAAATAATACTTTTATTGATTTTTTTTTTTTTAGAAAGAGAGGGAGAAAAACATCGACTTGTTTCACTTATTTATGTATTCATTGGTTGATTCTTTAAAAAAATATTTTTATTGATTTCAGAAGGGAGAGGGAGCTATAGAAACATCAATGATGAGAAAGAATCATAGATTGCTGCCTCCTGCACACCCCCTACTGGGGATCCATCTCCAAACCAGGGCATGTGCCTGGTAGGGAATCCAAACGTGACCTCCTGGTTCTTAGGTCAAGGTTCAACCACTGAGCCACACCGGTAGGGCCATTGGTTGATTCTTGTATGTGCCCTGAAGGGGATGGAACCCACAACCATGGCATATGGTGACAACTGAGCTACCTGGCCAGGATGAAATATTTTCCACGTATAACACCATAAATAGATTATTTGGCACAGGTTATAGTCATTAAAATTAAATTTTATTTTAGCATTTTGATACTTGCTTCACCTGTGTTTATACTGTGTTCTCTTTCACTGGTCTTGAGCTTTAATATCCTGTTGATTATATCTTATATGTTACCTTTCTTACAGTTTGTCTTAATTGATAAATTCTCCCCCCCCCCCCCCAGGTGAATTATACTTCAGTGTATTACTGGTTGTACACTACGGATGGGAACTATCAAAGTTTATAATGTCAAAAACTTTTCTTAGACGAAAAGTATCCTCCACAAAGGTATGCTATACTGAAATGGTCATGTAATAATTGCCCAAAAATAATTACATTTTTTGTACATGTTCTCAGTGATTTATTACTGTATCAATGTGATGGTGCTCAGTATCTGTTGTAATTAGTGATCTAAAAAGTCTAATAAGTTGTGAAACAACTGGACACTGAAAGTACAACCTTAATTTTGAAGAAAAAAAATTATAATCCCAGTCACAAAGAAAAGGCTAACCATTCTAGAATGAAAGAGCAGTAGAAGAAAATAAACATATGAGTTGTAGTTGGTGTTAAAGTTTAACAACAGGCCCTGCCTCTTAGAAATCATATGGTTCAGTGAGCTAGTTCTCAGCAAAGTTAGAAGGTAGAGTAGGTGAAGGTCAGACAATATGATACTCATATGCAGAATAGCTATTTTCCTAGTGTTTGGTCTGATTTATCTTTTAAAAAAAATATATTTTTATTCATTTCAGAAAGGGAGGGGGAGAGAGAGAGAGAAACATCAATGGTGAGAATCATTGATCAGCTGCCTCCTGCATGCCCCCTCCTGGGGATCGAGCCGCAACCAGGGCATGTGCCCTGACCAGGAATTCAGCCGTGACCTCCTGGCTCATAGGTCACTGCTCAACCACTGAGCCACACAGGCCACGCCTGATTTATCTTTGATCTTAAATAAATTATGTTACTTGGCCTTTTCTCCTTCTCTTTTCTTGAGTAAACGGGAGTCCACATTTATGTAAGAAATAAAACTGTAAAATGTATAACTAACATGTAGATCAGAATTGCTATCAAAAGAATTACTATACTAATAAGAGATATTTTTTTTATGTACTCTGGACTATATAAGAAAGTGGCCAAAATTGAATAGTGACAGTCTTTTGAAGAGGAGGAAAGGAATCAAGTAGTTATGACTGAAATTTTTCCCAGAGGTTTTCATTTCTTTATCCACTATTGATAATATTCCTAAACCTCTCCCTTTAAAAGAGTGAATATATTCATGTCATAATTATAAATTATAGTATCAGGAGTCTTAGATTATTATCTTCACAAAGTCTTAAAGATAATAGGGATTATTTTGATGTATGAAATGTAATGTGTTAACCTGGTTAAGGAAGAAGTATTATTCTTCTCACTTTGTACATGGTTAAAGTAATATTTTATTTCTCTGTTTTGTTTTGCTTCTTTTTGATAGGTAATTCAAATATTTAGGTTTCAGCCCTACAAATGAGTTTTAAAAGAATCAGCCTACTCTTTATCCTGGGAAGTTTACATTAATAAAAAGAATTACATCTGTATTCTGTATTCCTTTATATAGTATTCATCATTACCATGGTCAAGTAGACAAGTTATGCATTTGCACTTATTGTAAAGTACAAAAATAACAAATGTATATGGAATCAGTTTTATTTAAAGAGCTAACTTGTGAGCTTTTTAAAAAAATGTTACAAATACACAATTTTTTTTTTTTACAGAGCAGTTCAATTATAGGGAATAGATGCAAAAAATGTAATAGTATTTACATGATTTCTTTTCTCTTCAGGTAACAGATTGGGTAGATCCATCATTTGATGATTTTTCAGAGAATAGAAGCATCTCTAATACTGCCACATCATTAAGTGTGAATAATTCAAGTCATAGAAGAAAAAATGTGCCTTCCACATTAGAAAGCAGCAGATTTCCAACTAGAAAAAGAGAAACATTGTCTTCCTCAGAACAGATATATGGCCTAGAAAATTCAAAAGAAAGTCTGTCTGAAAATGAACCATGGGTGGATAAATACAAACCAGAAACTCAGGTACTAAATAGCATGCAAACATAATTTTATTTCAGGAAGGAAAGGGATGTGCATTTTCAGATTATTACTCATAAAGTCTTTCTAAATGAATTAGAAAAAAATAATGATTTCCAGGTTTTTTAGATATCCCAAGGCTCAGTGTTTTGTCAAATTATTCTGAAGTTGTACCATTGGTAATTTGTCTTAGATTAAATTTAACCCCAACATAGAATTTATCGGATTTTTGTTGTTGTTATTTATTCCCTTCCCAAAATGTATTATAGAATTTTTAAAAATTGTATAACTCCAACCTCCCCCAAATTTTTATAAAATGGTATCAGTTAAGATCAGATTTTTTTATAATGATAGAAAAATTAAGTGTAATCAACCTTTTTTATTGCTGTATCATGTTAGTTGTGTGCTACTTTTAAAATGTTTAGATTAATCTGTGCTAATGTACCAAAAGTCCTTGAGTTAAAATGTTTTATTTGAAACTTGACATTTATTTTTAGCATGAACTTGCTGTACACAAAAAGAAAATTGAAGAAGTTGAAACATGGTTAAAAGCTGAAGTCTTAGAAAGGCAATCAAAACAGGTAATTAAATAAAAAATATATTTTAAGTATTTAACACCAAATGTTTCTCTGTCTTATAGGTGGCTTTAAGAAGTTAAACTTTTATGATGATTTATTCAAATAAATCCAGATCACTAGCTATAGAGAGCTTTCTGACCTTA